TCTTGTATTTGAATCTGTTGTACACTGTATAAGGTAATAATTATACTTAAATAATTATTAAATGTTGTACTCTTGTAGTAATGTATATCATAAACTAAATCTGTCATAGTTTATATGTTTACCCATGTATGTAATCCAAATCGGTAATATCTATGTATTGAATTCCCCAAACTATACCCATTATAGTTTGCTTGAAATGTTATGTACTTGGTTTGTGATTTGTTCTGAAAATTTTGCAATTAGGTTTCCAAGATAAAAGTGTCCCTTATGCTCAACATAGTACAAAAGGGATAAAATATCTAAATGTTTTATGAAACGTGGAAATCGTTTGACTGTATCAATTGCACAAGTTTTAAACTTGTTAAAATCATTTGTGTTTAACTTGTATTCCCCCTGAAAACATTAAAAATCATAAAAGCCTAAGGGTATGAACTCACTATTAGTTGTGCACAAGCGTCGAATCAACGGACTGAAATGAAGATCCTCGAGTTGTAGTGTGGCACTTAACGAAATCCTAATAACAATTAAATACACATATGTATCTAAATTAGCGATTTCGTTAGATAAAGTGTTAGAAAAACACTTGCTTTCGGTTAAGGAATGTTACCGGGACTTGATTAGATCGAGGAAAGTGGATTTTCAGTCTAATGCACCACTTATGAAGTGTGTACGACCGTGAATGGGGGTTTACGACCGTGAACAGGCTCTTGAAGGGTGTACGACCTTTGAAGGTTTGAAGTGTGTACGGCCGTAGACTGGTGTACGGTCAATGAAGATTTGCAGAATTGAAGGGTGTGCGGCCGTACACTCAAGAACGAGGATGCTGGATTCGACGAAAAACGTGTTATAGATGCTCCGAAATGACTCCCAATGACGATTCTTGATGATTTTCGGAAGGATAAGAGTGTTTTAGGGGTGTACGGTCACGAGTTTAGAGAGAGGAGTGAGTGTTCGGCCAGAAAAGTGTAAATGAGGGGTAGGGTCTCGTATTTATAGGGGTTTTCGTGGTTGGTGGTGGGGTCCACCAGACGCTGGCCGTAAACGAGTGTACGACCGTACACGGGTTTACGGCTGTAAAATCAGCCAGGCCGAAAACCGTTTGATTTTTCAAGAAGATTCGGGTCTTTCGCGCGATTGTTGGTTCCGACTCGTATATAAATTTAATTATATAAAACTAGATGATTTTCTAAACCAAGAAGTTTGACGGAAATTTAATAAAATTCAAATTTTATTAACGGAAACGGATAACGGTAATGGAAAAATGTTCGGATTGTCACAAAATCATTTGGAGATGATTTATGTATGTATATGGTTGTAAGAGAGCCTCAAACCTTCAAAAAGGAATTCACGTCCTTTGATAGATCTCATGAAAAAAGGCAATTAAAAGTGAAATGGATTCTATCTTGAAAATCATGCATGCAAGCTAGTGGATATACCTCTATGATGTACGCCACTAGGTTATATATGTATTTTCAAGAGGAAAATGAAAGCAGATAGATCCAAAGAATATGAGAATCGATTAGAACATAATGGTCTATGATTTCAATAGAATATGTAATGATTCCTTGTTTGGAATTTTAGAATCAAATGATACTTCTATACCCCAAGAAGCTATTTCCATAAAATCCAATAATATTGGTTGGAATTCATCAAAACAAGATAAATATTTTGATGAATATTAAGATATTCAACATGAATTTGAAAGGACTATGAATGTAAATATAATTATTCTAAGTTTGGAATCAAATGATCGTTTCTTAAAAGATCATATTGGATTAAGTTGTAAAAACTAATATTGGTTCTATCGTTTAAACTATTGAGTTTGAGAAATCATTTCGATTTGGTGGGTTTCCAAATGAGAAGTAAGAGTTGATGACATATTTGAAATATATGTTTGGATTACAAACATAAGAATGTCTTGATTAATTTCATGCTCTTATCATTATATGTGGTTGTAACTTCTCGAAATTTGGAAGTATATCATTCTGATATGAAACTAAAACTTCTAAACAAAGTTTTAGAAGTATAAATATACATGGAACTGCCAATCAGTTATCTTACCCGAGGGAAAGCAACAAAATGTGCGAGTAGTAAAGTCATTATATGATTAAAGCAAGCTTTGGAACAACGGGTATCAAAAGTTTGAATATGTCGTTCAACATCAATGGATGTGATGAAATAGATCCATACAAATGGCACTTTAAAGTGATATTCTATTTTATGACATAGTAGGATCCTTGATATAGGATGCCTAAAGAATTTTACATGTAAATGGTTAAGACAAGAAATTGCATGGAAAAATATGATATTTGCAAGAAAACTCATGTATGGAATATTCATAATTACATCTGGCCAATGTTATTATGAATTCACAAATACATTTAGTACATATGCGTATCGTATTATGTTGACACAATTATGCTTATTCAATAGTGGTAACTATGGTGTAGTTATAAACATATTGATAATGGTCAACATTTGTTGGAAAATATAGGAGAAAAAATTTGCAAGTTTATCCAAGGTTGGACAATAAACTAAAGGAATTTGTAAGTTCTTGGGAGATGTCCCATGATGAGCCAATAACTCCTATATATATGTACATGATGATGTAAAGAATGGTGAGTCTAGATATATTTTTCAAAGACATAATACCATTCAACAATGACTCTCAAGATGAATGACTACATAAAGTCAAAATCAGATTGTGGATCCGCTACGAAATGCTTGGAATGAGAGGTCGTTATGAGGAATGGTACAAAAACCCATAGATTAATAAGTTATGGCGAAGGAAAACCCAACATAGTTGACTGGAGATCCCAAGATCTAGGTTCAATGGGACAAACAGTGATGCAGGTTAAGCTTATAGTTGTGGATGATAAATTGGAAATCATCACGAATTAGCTTTTAATGATTATTATAGAATCACCTATGTGAGAGAGAGAAGCGGGGTCGCTTCAAAAGGAATTGTATGGGCACATTCCTAAGAGCTCTTACAGAACCAGGCAAGTGTCCATGACCATAACGCACACATCAATGAGAACCTAACTAGGTCAGGGAGAATCATGTGAGTCACATATTGATTATTTACACAAACGGCAGAACAGTTCAAGGACATCGAGTCTACTGGTCCGCTAGTAAAATAAATAGGTATCTTAAGGGAAGGTTCAAAGGGTAACACCTACCTATCCTATGCATGATTCAACTGTTGGATTTTATCTAGGTAGCTTGAAAATGCTTGATCAATTTTCATTCATGTGGGGGATTGTTGGAAAATTGGTGTTAACCAATTTATAAAAATGGGTTTTTCCCATTTTTTTAACACGTCCAAAATGGATTTAATATGAATGAGAAATTAATCCTTAAAGTAAGGGTGTTGGAAGAAGTAAATAAAAGAGTTTAATGGGTGAGAGAAAGAAAAGAAAAGTTCAGGGACCTTTCTTGCAAATATTTCTTTCTTTCGTAACTGAAATTGTAATTAATATTACAATTTAATAACATATTAACACACATTAATCTTTGTGATTAATAGAGGTGTTTAAATGAGAGGTTATAGAATGTGTAGTATAAATATCACTACTCTACAACCATTTGAGGACACCAAAAGAATGTAAGAAAACTCTCTTCTTCCCCACTTCATCTTCTTCTTTTTCTAGCTATATTGAAGATATAATTCAGGCCTATTGAGGGTTTGGGTGTCTAGAAGAACCACTTCAAACTGTTGTATCCTGGGAAACAAACACCCGGTAGCGGACGAATTTGTTTTAAGGACAATGTGTTTATTACACATTTTTTGTTTGTTTTACATACTCATTACATTCAATAATGAATAATCATCCAGTAAGGTCCAATTTTCTTGAATCTAAATACTTCAGGGTTACTTTTGAAAGACATTCCTTTTTACTTTCATTGACCAAATCCAAAGTAACTATTTGACTTTAATCACACTACAAACGTTACAACATTATGTACAAGACACTCCCTCCACGATATGTGTGTAAGCGGCATGTCATACTTAATGCACAACGTACAACATGTTTATGCAGGGTCAGAAGATTCTGGTTGAAGATGCACTATTTTTAGATGACTAAACTGCACAAATGGTCCCTGTGGTTTGCTCAAAATTACTACTTTGGTCCAAAAATGTTTGGACTAGCACCAGAGGTCCAAAGTTTTCATTTTGTTGCGAGTTTGGTCCAATTTGATTTAAACTTTTTAAGAATGACGATTTTGCCCTTGCTTTTGCTTTTCAGTTTTTATTTATTTATTTAAATACATTTTACAAGTTTTATAATTAAAAATAAAACAAAAAAAGAAAATACTACCCGTATCCCTACCCCACCCTTCCCCCTCTTAGCCCACTACCAGTTATGATATCACCACCACTGTTAATTACCACCGCCACCGCTACCACCACAGTTGCTTACCAATAACCACCACTACCACCGCCCCACCGGTCACCACCAACACCACAACATGATAAATTGAAACACAAGAACTACCACCACCATCTGATGACTTCAACCTTTTTTTTTCAGATCTGCAACCATAAATTCAAGAACTACCAGAATTTTAAACCCACAAGAACAATCTGATTTGTGACAAGAACAATTAGATCGAGTGTGGAATGCATATGATAATTACTGGTAGAGCTCCACTGATCTTCTTCCTATCTGTGGATGTATCTCTCTCTGATCTTCCTCCCCCGAGAAACCCTAGCGGAGCTGCTCCTCTTCGCAAAACCCCTAGCGTCTCCAAGGATCTACTGAAACTCTAATCATTGGCGGTGTCGGTGCCCTTCCCATTTTGGCTTTACGTTTGCAGATTTCCAGCTGCAGTGGTGACCCTCCGATCTGAAAATCTTACTGTCGAAACCCTGGTTCGCTGCCCTCCCTGTATTGGCTTCAAGCTTTGGAATCATTCGTTGTCAATGTCTTCGTCTTCCTCGAGGTTTCGGATGGTATGGAATCATTCGTTGTCAAGAAGATGATGATGTTGTCAAGATGATGATGATGTCTTCGTCAATGGCTTCAAGCTTTGGAATCATTCGTTGTCAAGAAGATGATGATGTTGCCTCCCTCTCAAACGACAAAGACGATGTCGGATTTCCACATTGGAGACTTCCCTTCGCAGCCGCCACCCTTCGTCTTCTCCATTTCCCAGATCTGTTCACCATTCTTCAATGGTGAAAAGGAGAGAAAGAAGAAAAACCCTTTGACTTCGCTAGTTTCTAGCTCCAACTGACGTCTGTCTCTATGCCTCTATGATTGTTTCTCTTCATCTCCCTTCTACCGGCTTCAAGAGGTGGTGGCTGTGCTACCGGCGGCAGCCTTGGTGGTGGTAGTGGTTGAGCTTTGATAAATAAACTTGATAAAAACAAAAAGGTAGATAACGAAGGTGGGGTGGGTAGGGGTGTTTAAATTTTGTTTTTTTATTTATTTTAATAACTAAACTTAATAAAAATATTGAAGAAAGAAAACACCAAGGGTAAATTTGTCATTTTAGATATTTTCAAAATACTTTGGACCAAACTCGCAAAAAAATGAAAACTTTGGACCTTGCAAACCTTTTTGGACCAAAGTGATAACTAACACAGAGACCATCTGTGCATTTTTATCTTTTTAGATAGAAAAATCCTCAATCTATACGTATAGAGAGAGAAATCGAAAGGGATTGTTACACCCCGCTCCCGAGTTCAACTTAAGGAGAGAAAAGAAAGGAAATGGGCGGAAATGAGAGGAAAGTAAGAGAGATTGGTGCTCCCGAGTTTCATTAAAGGAAGGAAGTGGAAGGAAATGGAAGGAAAACTTTCTCTCCTAACTTTCCTTCCGATTTGGGAGGATTTGAAAAGAAAGAACAAAATGTTTAACTTTCCTTCCATTTCTCTCCAACTCGGGAGCACAAATGAAAATTTTGTTTTCCTTTCTTTTCTCTTCTTTTCTCTCCTTACTTTCTTTTCTTTTCTCTTCTTTTCTCTCCTTACTTTCTTTTCTTTTCTCTCCTTAATGCGGTTCTTAACCTTGTTGAGCCGGACATTACTGATTATTTTTCTGGCAATACTCCATGCAGAAGATTACGGCTTGTTAAGTTCCGGCCACCCCGCGTTGGGAGCCTCGTGCAAACGTCGGAGCTGGGTTTAGGTTATTCGGGTTTTGGGATTCGAATTCTGGGAAGCTATAGGGGTGTTTGGCTTAGCTTTTTAGGGGGCAAAAGTCATTTTTGGAAAAGTTACAAAAAGTCAGGTTTTCTGACTTTTCCAAAAAGTTCATTTTTACTTGTATCCAAATCCAAAAGTAGTTTTTAAAATGCATTTGCCAAACATCTTTTACCTTCTATCTTTTTCTAAAATGACTTTTGGCTTTAGAGCTAAGCCAAACACCCCCTATCTATGGTTGGTTTTGGATCGGTAAGTACTTTAACCCCTGTAAATGTTGTTTTCAAGCTTGATTATCCCAATTCTTCTGTTCTTGATACTAGTTTGATCAATGGTACATTACAAAGCATCACGCCTTCGGGTTCCGCTACTTAGGGGGTGTTTGGGATTACTTTTTGATGTTAAAAGTCCTTTTTGTAAAAGGACTTTTTGGCTAGTGACTTTTTCCAAAAGATAGTCTTTAAAATGTGTTTGTATTTGCTTTTAGGATAAAAATCATATTTTCATGTTAAAAAGTCACAAAAGTCACAAAAAGATAGGATTTTGTGACTTTTGAAACACTAACTTTTCCTCCTACACAAAAAATTATTTTAAAAGATCTTTTGCATTATCCAAACATCTTTTAGCCATTTTTTAAATTTTTTGAAAAAGTTAAAAGAAAAGTTGTTTTGGGGTATAATTATACTTGCATCAATAAAGAGATCAACAACGATGGTTTTAGCATCTACGATGATATGGTCTACCAGATGCCCGGACGGCTTACAGGCGTGGGATATGCTCGGTCATAACATGGGGTCTCAGATTCGAATTGGAGTAAAATACCTACGACTGTAAGAACTTTTCTTGTAGCTTTATAACAGTAGGTGATGAAACGTTTCCACGTTTCCTGTCAATCAAATTCGTAGATTGCTTAGAAGATTGAAAAGTTCGGTACATTTTGCAGTTCTCTAATTCTACCTACGGTAGAGGAATGTCATTTTATCCACTCACTAGTCTGGTTGCAGAAGGAGTTTGGAACAAGAAGAAGAACCGTCTAGAATTAGCCGCATGCCAACTGTTCGATAAAATGTCTGCAAGAGATTGTTCGATTAGATTAGCTTTCAGTTTACCTTCAAGTCTTAGTCTACAAAACAGGAGTAGTATCATAGGGCGAATGTGGAGTACTAAATGAAAGAATCTTGACCATGTCTCTATTTATAGCCCTGCAAACCTACACTCAAGAATCAAATGTGCATCATATGAGTATTCCCAACATAAAAAGGTCACAAATTTATGCTCAAAAACCCTCAACAGTAACACAAAAGGAAAGAAAGAGACTTACCCAGATGAAAATTCTCCAAATTTACAGTTCGAGATGTTGGTGAAAAACAAGAAAGGGCAAATGGCATATGGTTATGCATCCCCTTTTTACATTGGTGACCGATTTTATTCGTCTTTTTCCATGATCGAAGGGAATCATAGTTCAAGAAACGAGTACATGAACATTAGTTATGTTATGAGCTTCACGACACGTGGCGAATTTGAATTCGGTGGTAAAATCCCAGGGTCAAAAATGGTTGAAATCTCAGCAGAAAGCGTGTATAACACCAAAAATGGAGTTATGTATCAGAAAGTAGCTGTTAATACTCAAGAAGGATGAGGTTTTTGGGCTTGTTGGCTTGTAATGTTGTTGGTTTTGTTTTGTATGTAAACTCAGGTTGTTGTAAAAGAAACAGTTTAGATTTATTTCTACCTTTCATATAAAAAACTTCGTTTTTTTTAATGACTTGAAGGCATGTAGAGGTATTTTATTAGCAACATGCTAACATCTTTTATTAATAATAACAGTTAATGACCAGCAATAGCAATGTACTTGTATTTCGTTCCCAAATATGTAACAAGTTAGGTACATTCATTATACATATTGGTGTAAAAAATATAAGTATGTTGCTATTATTGATGAAAAAAAGTACATTGGCAGAAAGTACGTTGCTATTCACTACAATTTGACCAATGAGCACCACCTACACAAATATGTACATATTTAACTGCAAAATTCTAACCACTAAGGCTAACACCCTACAATTATGTTCAAAACATCAAAAAAAAAAACAAATATTTAACGATACGAAATAAGGATGCAAAAATGGCTCCCATGGTGAGCAGCTTGATGAATTCAAGGACATTATCGTCATTCTTACACCCAAAACCTGCAAACCAATCATAGAAAAGAGTCAAACTCCAACCCAAATAGTCAAAAACCTTATGATATTATAAAAAACACGAGTTTTCCCATATGAAAAATGACAAACATACCCTCGATATCACGACTCCAAATTAATATTCTTCCCAGTAAGAATCCTGGATATCTGAAGTCCTCGACTAAATGCTTCATTAAACAAAATCCTGGTTTGCATGGCTTGAAATCCGGGCATCCATGACAAAAAAGCAAGAGGGGCCAAAACAAACATTCCAATCAACATATCATAAAGCCGAGCCAACGAAACAACCGTATCCCAAACAATTGAATTTTCCAAAAACGGCCTCAAAACTTGTGCAATCGATATAATCCCCCAACCAGTCGGTATAAACGCCAAAACACTCGAAAACATGTCCAAAATCGTCAATTTAGTAAACTCCAAAAGCGTCAAAACCACAACCACAATCACAAAACTCACAAGAAGCTGAACAAGCCGGTATTTTATATGCTCTTTCGCCGCAAACTTATCTTGCGCATACGCGATCACAATATAAACCGCAACCGCAGCGATCATAAAAACCCACGAAATCAAATAAACAACAATACTCGTACTATTGTTTGCGATTTTCAAATGGTAAACAACACCATATTGAAAAAAGAAGAATCTTAAATCGAGAATTATTTCCAACAATTTCCCCCATAAACCGGTTGTTCTCAAGTGATCCTGTTCTTCATACCACCATGTCTCCCAACTAATATCCGCTTTCGCTAACGACCCGCCCGAATACCAAATCCATCTAACAAAATCCTTGAAGTCATAAACCGTTTTCAACCAGTCAAAACCCGACGGGTTGAACGCAAACGGAGCCATGATCCACGAAACCACTAAAAACCAACTCGAAATATTCAAAATTATGTAAATGAAATTCGATACGGATAACGGGGTGTTGGACGCGTAAACTGTTAAAATCACCCCGAGTTCAATTGCTTTCACGAAATGACTTCGCGCGTATAATCGATAATTTTCCGCGAATTTTTTATGTTCAACAACAAACCCGCGACCCGTGGCCCGGTATTTCGCCCCACCGTGTAATATGGTACGCCCGAAGTAATGGCTGCGGGTCCCCATTGAGAAAGTGAAGAAAACCGAAGCGAGTTGCAACTGCATCGTTAGGTAGTCCCATACAGCGGATAAAAACCCGTGTTCTAACGAGTTTTCAACTATCATTGGTAAAGCGGTGAAAACCCCGATTTGGACTACAAATTGTTGGTTTATAATCGCCCCAAATGCTTTGTTATACTTTGTGTTGTCCATAGCTGCCCCCTCGACCCCACTCAACGCGAGATAAAGCCGGCCCCACAAGAAAGTATAAACCATAACAATCATCATCATTGTGTTGTAATAAAACCCGACTGTCGTGTAAAAAAATGACAACATCCGGAAGAAGTCGAGCCGGTGGCCCAACCGATAAACATCACGGCTCAAAACTTGTTCGCCGTTTCCGGACGCGACTTTGGCCTCAAACATTGAAATTTGGTTCAACCCGACATCCCGACCCTTTCCGATTTGAATGTATTCATGATGTGTTACATTTCCACCACGTAAGGTGCAATTGAAACCCGCAAATATGTCTTCACTAATGTTGATTACTTTTGAGGCTTTGCTGATTCCGCCACGTGTCAAGAACCAAAACCGGTCGAACACGTCCGGATGCCCGTAATGCATACGGACTTTCAACGGGTTCGCGAGAACCCGTTGACCGAGTGTCACGAAACTCATTTCTTGCGTTGACATGAACCATGCGAGCGAGGAGACGGACCCCGTGAAGATGTTTTCGCGGACTCCTAGGATTGTCGGTTTTCGGATCCCGTGGTTGACTTTGAATTCTTCTAGAAGGTTTCGCATTTTCAAGGCTTCTTCGAACGAATTATCTTGGTTCATGTCGATTGTTTGTAACGCATCGCCACGCGTGAAAATTATGGCGTGGTTTTGGTTCTCGGGCTTTCCTTCCCCAAGTTTCATCGGGCCCGGTAATTTTATACGGTAAATTTCTTCTTCTTTCTTTAAGTGCTCATTGTACTTTACAAGAACCGAATAATACTCGACTTCAGACCGACCTAAACGAACCTCGTCCACATAAGCGACCCGAAGAGCCTCGTTGTTTTTCATTAAAATCGCGATATCTTCTGCTTGTGGTTCGCCTTTTTGCTTCTGGGACCCGTAATTCTGACACGCAACAACGTATACAAACTTCATAATTGCTGACCCGGTCTCGCTAACGGTCCGGTTCAAACCCCATGAACCCGCCCGGTAATCTACAGTTTGTGAACCTTGTTTGATTTCCACTTCAGAAGCCGAATCAAGATACGCGAGAATTTTCAAAGCCCGATAATAATACATCATTCCCCGAACGGTTCGGGCCAAAGTTTGGCCCCGATACGAGGCCCAAACACGAAGGTTGCGTGTTCTTGTAGTGAAAATTTCATTGTCATCTTTCATCCCATCTCCACGCATTCTTTCCATAAAATTCTCCCACTCGTCTTCGTATATTTTCTGCAAATAAAACAAAGTGGAAATCCCGTCATCGTTCGGGCTTCGAAGCGCTTCTTTCTTATACAAAACATCCTCGTCATAATACGGAGTCAAAACACTAAACGCCATCATTTTCTCGACTTGTGGGGCCCGCGGGATGTTCATGAAAAGTGAGTTGCTAAAAAACGCAATCCGTCTCCGGGCCTCGATGTTTCTCGGGATGTTCCGCATCGAGTCCCGGGATTTTAAAATCGTGTGCAACCGCCGTAACTGTCGGTGAAAAAACGCGTCTTCGGGTTTTGGAAACCGGACTTTGTTCACGAAAAGTAAACCCTCTTCGGTTTTTGCAGGGTTCCTCGGGGCAAAACCTTCTTCAATCAATTGGAACGCGGGCTTTTTAGTTTTTGGGAGCTCTTTAACCATGATCTCATAAAGCGCTTGCAAAATGTCAACAAGTTTGTTCATGTTTTGAACCGGTGCCATCAAAGTTTCAACAAGATTGATCAAATTTGTGTGAATCATCGGGAGCTTTTGCGATCTATAAAATTTCATAAACTCGCCAATAGAAACATAATGGTCGATTTCATCAAATAACCGTTTAACAATCCCGTATTCTTCGGATCTTTTTTCAATGATTTCGGGTAGTAAATACCGGATACTACAATACGCCTCGATCACTGCACACCGGCGATACTCGCTGTTACAAATCCGGAACCAAACCCAGCGGTCCGGTGCACCGGAAAGTTCACTGGCCTGGTTGAGTGCAAGGCTGAGCTCATTACCCAAAAGGACACACGGCCACCGGACCACCATGATCCCCCAACAGGTAGGCGGCAACTCCATGAGCTCCACCTCTCTATCACTAATTAGATCTTCTTCCCTCATTGTGAATATAATTTCATTCCAAATCAACGCGAATCTTCTCGCATCAACTTGACTCGATTCAAGTTTCTTAAACGGTTGACCGAGCCCGTACCGGAGTTTGACCCGATGAATCGCGTTACGAAGCTTTTGAACAAGAGAATCTTTAGCCGTCACGGATAAATCTTCCGGAATCAAATTAAACTGTAACGCGCTCGCGAAAAACTGATACCTTAACCTTAACTGCTCGATGTTCCGGATCTCGCCCAAATGAGAAAACAACCCGACAATCGACCCGACTAGAGCCGAAAAAACCGTGTACCATAACTGCATGTCAACTAAATACATTAAAACAACGGGTGCCCAAACGAGAACAATCGCCATTCGGTTTGTGTTACTGAAGAACTCATGCCAGTTGTATCTATCGAGCCGGAGGCTTGATAGGGCTTTGGTGGGGGCCACGAGTGGTTTAATTTGAAGAAAGTAAGAAAATGAGAACTTTGAGAGTAATATGATGATCCAAAAGAGTGTGTATTTGATGTTGTTGACTAAACCTTCGCGTAAACCTCGTCCTACATAGAGTCGGGAATGGAACCACCATGTTAGCATGTCGAAAAGTATGAAATCGGTTTCTTCAATGAAGTTTCTAACCCATGGGATGATGAAAAGAAGCAATGCGAGGACTTCTGGAATGATGTAGACTAATCCGGATTTTAAGAACACGATAATTTTATCGTTGGCGGCATCGGACCACTGCCCATCTGAGTTTTTTTGGATCCAGATTTGGATGTAGAAGATGGTGAAGACGATGACCCATGTTAACGATACTAATGATTTCATGATCATACGAAAGAGAAGAAGTTTTGAATCTTTTGAAACCAGACTGTATTGTGTTCCTGCATCGAGAATTGATTGACCGAATCGAAGACCAGCCCATGTTATGAAGATTGTGAGTAATTCAACTTGTACATCACGATCTTCAAGCGCCTGCCATGGAAACTGTGTTTCTCTCCAGGCTACAATCATGGAGGCTTGGAAGAACAAGATGAGCAAAACCCATAATCGGTCGAAGTTTCTGAAGATGTTCCAGAATGTTCGTTGCTCCACGAATCCGGTTTTACCGATTCGATTTATGGCTTTTGGATCGTCTATGAAGAAGTTGCAGGAGAGATCTAATGGCCATTTAAGTTTCTTGAAGCATTTGCGACTCCAGAAGAATTCGTTTATGTCATCGTAATTTCTCCAGGCTGAATGTGGGGCTTTTCCGTTTCTGCTTCTGTCTACTTCCGTTTTAATTGTTTTGTAAATCGGGGTGATGATTTTGTTCAGAAACGCGTTTTCGCCGGAGATGGAGGGATTGAAAGGACGGCCGGTGTTGACGTCTGTGTCGCCGGAGAGAACTTGGTTTAATTCCATGGTCATGTGATGGTAGATGTAGCAGAGACATTCTGGTGTGAATCGGAGATTCCCGGCTTCACCCCAGATGAGTAGGTACATAGCTACGTATAAAAGTTCCCGGCGGTGGGTGTCGGGGTTTTGACGGAAATGTGGGAGGCGAACCTGTGATTTTCGTCGGAGGAAAGAGCACCATGACTTGTAATTCTTAAGAAGTTTCCGACGGAATTCCCGGAGAACACCAGGGTCGAGGTTATCAGCGATGGCTGGCGGCGGGGAGAGCCGCATTTGGGCGTTGGCAAGGTGGAGAACGAGATGCTCCCGTTGATTCCGAACGTTGTCGTTTTGAAACCCGAAAAAAGCACCGAGCCAATCCAGAAGGTCCATCCCATCTCGCCATTCTCTAAACGGCGGCCGACGGAGGTCCCCGACGGCGCGTAGAGCATCAGCAGCCGCTCTCACTTCCGGGTACCGAAGAGATGGATGATCAGAAAGTAAACTGTGTATAGGGATTATGTTATACGGCTCCTCATGCCTCGTCGCATGTGGCGGCGCGTCTGGATTCCCACGTCCGCGAGTGGGTACTGGTCTTTGCCTCAAGTTCATCTCATCGGAATTCTAACAAGTTTCACGATCTCGGTATCTTCTCAAAACCACCCTGCAATTCCCATTTCACCATTTTTACAACAAATAAATACACAAACTACACCAAGCAAAGTAAAAATAGATCAAATTGAACGAAAAGATCGTACCTGTATGATATGGGGATTGAAATTTACACTTTTGATTACCCCAATTAACCAGTGTCTAAACAAAACACGCAATATATCTACAAAAACACACACAGATAGATACAGAATCTCAAAACGTATATACTATATACCCAGTAAAATAATAAACAAAACCTAAAGTAAAACAGCGTACCTTTAGGATAAGGCGATTGAAATTTTCTTTTTTTGGTTTCAAATTATTGGGATTTTGTGGTGGGTTTTTGAGGGGTGTTTGTTACTTGTAAGTTACAAGAATAGTGGCACGTGAGGCACGCGCTTGAGAGGGAGAAGAAGCTTTACGATGAAGTTAAGATATGATAACAGATAACAGATCGTTGAATCATAAAACCTCAAACCTTTTGCGTTTGTTGAGTTATTATCGATGATTTCGACATTTTTTAGGCTGGTAGCAACAAGCATGGAATCGAAGAACAAGTCAACGATTTGTACTCCAGAATGTTGGTCAGCATAAAGATCTGCAATTCCATCTCGAAATGAATTGAGAAGGTGAGAGACACGAACTTCAGCCACAACTCATCGAGTTGAAACCCACAACTTTGTAAACTTTGCTATAGAATATCAAATTGAATAACATCTGAAAAGCAAACTTTAGTTCCATTTAACTTGTTCAAGTTCTCATCTTTGCTGTTTTTACATCTGGTTCCACTTTTTTCTCTGTAAATTGCAATCGCGTTTTGGATAGATGTGGAGGAGAAAATTAAAATGGAGATGAATTTAGTGGAATTTTAATTGGGTAATGAGAAGATAAGAGATCATTGAAGGTTGAAGATGAAGATAATCCGAGTGAAGGGGGATTGTTGAGCGTCCTGCGTTTCAGCGTTTGTTTGAAAAAAATTCTTTGGATCTATCTCTCTCTTCAATAGTTAAAGGAGGGCATAATTGTCCAATGCATTAAATTTTCAGATCAGCTCCCACTTAAGATGGGTGCGACCCACACAGTGAGGGTGTTTTCATCGGTTACTTGAATTCAATCAAAGTAAGCAATAATACTCTGATTTTATTTTGTTTTTCTTTCAAAATCTTTTTAGTTCTTAATATATTAATATGATTCATATTCCTTACGAATTAGTTATTAAAAAAATAAAAATCGAACATTATTCTTTTAACCTAATTTGAGAATATCTTTTTTTTTTTAAGTGTATCTCTATGATTTGTATCTATTTTTACAACCTTTATCAAAATTCAAATGACTAAATTAGTCCATAAGTACAATACGTATACGTGGAGGATTGTGGTTTCAGTAGAGAAAATTTATTTCATGATTTTAAAGAAAAAATAAATACAATATGTTAAGTACATATGAAATCGGAAAGTGGCAAGTAAAAGACAAAAGTTGTAACAGAAGATGTATCACATGCAGTGCCCGAGTCGCATATAAAATAATGTTTTTTTACATAGCCGCCTTCTCGGGTTGAAAAAAATTAGGTTGTTTGGGCGCAATTATAAGCGTATCTAATCCAAACTCTTTTCATAGTTTTTTTTGATAAATATACATGGTCCTGTGGTTTATTAAAAGTTATAACTTTAGTTTTTAATAAAAAAAATTACGAATATAGTCCTTGTGATTTTTATAACTTACAATTTTTTTTTATGAATATAGTCCTTGTGATTTCTATAACTTACAATTTTTTTTATGAATATAATCCTTATGATTTCTATAACTTACATCTAGATGGTCTATAAGCCCTATAAACGACTTATTTGCCATTTTTGGTTTATTTTATCTTTTTTATTTAACGACAAAATTTGTTTTAATTAAACAAAAAAGGAAATAAAACCACCATCACCTCGCAGTTCATCTTCATCCTCTTGTCTTCTTCCTTTTCATCTCCATCGCCTTCAAGAACAACCACCACCACCTCAATACCTCTTCTTCATTGTCTTTATCTTAATACATGAACAGAGCAAAGATTCAGTGTTCAGTGTTTGAATCAGCACCCATGTCACCGATGTGATCTAGGTGATAGAGAAAGGCAGAAGACCATGAGTGTCGCTTTATGTCACTAATCCTCGTTTGATTGCAGGTTTTTTAATCGATTTATGATGTGCGGTTTTTAGGGTGCAATTTCGAACTTGCCAAATCCAACTCACACATTCATATACAAATATTTCCTCTTTTTTTCAATCGGATGCAATTAGAAAAATGATTGGTTATCGGAGATGAATATGTCGGCGATAAACATTGATGAAGAACATGAGGAAATGATGTGATGGATCATGTGGTTTTTTCTTTGGCTAAGAAGAATGTTGCAAAAACTATGCAAAATGATCTGAGGGGTCTTCAGAGGTTTGAGAATTTGATGCATGCACTACCGATTGTTGGTGATTTTAGTATCACCAGACATTTTGTGTAATTGGAATTAATATGTTAGCTAAAGGCTTATAATTTGTACTATATATTATATGTTCGATGTGCACACATATAAGATCGAATTATAAGTCGTACGACAAAATAGTGGGGGTCAAGGGGGTTACGCCCCTTGCATGGTCCAAGGGGCAGAGCCCCTACGTTAGAAAATTCGAATTCTAATGGGTGATTATGGTAAAATTGGCAAATCTCATTAGTTTTAGAAACCATTAACCATGTCATTGACTAATTCATAAGACAACAAACCTAATCGCAACCCTAATTGTCATGTATAAATACGGATCTTCTCTTTGAGTCGTATACGACCTATCTCAACTTTTCTTCTTCTCTGACGAACTCATAATTCTTCTAGCAACTTGGCTTGCACTTTTGTGACTAGATTCGTAAGTGTCCATTTAAATTATCATATGCTTGATTTTTGTAACCCATGCATAGGGTATAAACATCAATTCAGAAAGCGAAACCTACGCGATTGTAACAATTTGTAATAATTGGTCAAAGTCCGCACGTCAAACCACCACAAACATAGTTGTTAAAGGACATATTGTGTAGTATTTCTTGTTCTTGAGTGCAGTTAAAGTCATTATACTTGAAATTTTATAAGGAAGGGCAACAAAGGCTGAAACTCTTCCTGCCAAAAACAAGGGACCCACTATTCATCCTATCTTGAAATTTCTCAAAATTGACGGTCGTTAACAATTGGAAAGCAATTCATAAAATAAGTTTTAATTGATGCCTAAAAATAATTTTTTGCATTAAATATACTTGAGAGCTATATATAAGAAATTTGAATAAAATATGTTTTCCTGATTCTTTGGATATAAACAACGTCCAAAACGGAGATCGTATGAGGAGTTACGCCTCTTTTAAATTATAAAATATTATTTATCTGATTTTCCTGAAACAAACTCTGCACTGCTTCGTTTGAAATAGCTACGAACCTTGTAAATTGTTTTTTAGCACGTTTTTGAACTCAAATTGTGGTCTATTATTCAATTTCATTATTATGACATTTTTAATCTTGAGAAAAATTGAATTCTTAAAAAACTGTCAAATCTGAAACAATTAATCATGAAAAATGCGGCCCATATACCAGTTGTTAATGGCACTTTTTATGCAATTTTTTTCTGAAAAATTCAATTTATCACAATTAATCTGAAACAATTTTTAAGGATTTGACTTTTCACGATTTCCTAATTAAAAATATAAAAATTCAAAATTTTATTGAAAGTTAACTTACAAAAAGTGCTTTAATGCCAATATTTGCCACTGTGCACTTTGGTGTTAGGTTATATTTGCAAGTACTATTTTTTAATCATCTCTAATAAATAAAAGTGTTTTTTTGTTGCTTGTCATTTTCTTAAAGCTTTTGTCACATATCATTATATGAGATTTTATAATTATTTAAATTTCACATGTCATTATGTGGTATTTTTACTTTTTTTTTATTAATCAATAATCAATTCCACTAACTAATAAGTCTATTATTATATATGTAAAGTATTTATTCTATTTAAATGTTTATTAATTTATAAATATATCTGAATTCAAATGGATGCTCTAATAACACAATTAATGCCGTTTATTTGATGATATATTTGAACTCAAAACTTACCTTTAATTTTTTGGACTTTTAATTTGAATTCTAACAATTAATGTCGTGTATAATATATCTCTATCTCTACCCTAATAAATGAAAAAAAAAAATCATCTTCAAAGAAGTATTTGAAAATTTTGATTCATGACAACTATTTACAATATGTCAAAAAAAAAATTATTACTATAAATTCAATAACTACTTATTCATCATGTCGTTTGTATTTATTTCGAAAGTTTATTTATAAAATATTTAATGTTTACACCTTGATTTTCAACATATTATTTAAAATATGTCAATAGTTTTTTATCAGTATAGATTGAATTACTTCTTTATTCATTATATCGTTCACATTTATGTAAAAGTATTTTTTTTTTTAAATATTTAATATTTATACATTAATATTAAACTTTTATTTTTAATAAACTCGTTTAGTATACGGGTCTCACACCTACTACACATATATGAAATACATTAAATATGAATGATGTTTTGTTTTTTTAGGGAAATCTCCAGAAAAGTCCTAAAATTTTACCATAATTTACGAAAAAGTCTCAAACTAAATTTTGTTTACGAAAAAACATGAATTACCGGTAAAAATGGCGATTTGACCCATTTTTTCCGGTTTTATTACTTACCTGTTTCACTAAAGTCTCATTATTTTACCCTAACTTGCGAATAAGTCTCAAATCATCAGTAAAATTTATTTTGGGACTTATTCGCAAATTAGGGTAAAATAATGAGACTTTAGTGAAACATGTAAGTAATAAAACCGGTAAACCGGAAAAAAGGGGTCAGATCGTTATTTTTACCGGTAATTCATGTTTTTTCGTAAACAAATTTTAGTTTAGGATTTTTTTCGTAAATTAGGGTAAAATTTTAGGACTTTTCTGAAGATTTCCCTTTTTTTTAGGAAGGAAAACTAGATTAGGGATGTCAAAAAGTCCCGTGGGACCCCATTCCCATGGGGGCCCCGTCCCGTTTGGAGGATTTTTTTAAAAAAAAAACGGGGACGGGGAAGGGCCGGGGGCAAGGTTAACCCCCGTTTTAATTTCGGGGGCGGGGGCGTGGGTAGGCATTTCCGTCCCGAAACCCCCATGGGGACCCCGTTAATGAATTACACATATTTATATATATTAATTATATAAATATAATAAACAATAACATTATTTTGAGCTTCCAAAATTCATCAAAAAAACATGTTTTTGAGTTGTTAGTATAATGTTTTTAAGATGTCATAACTTTTTTATTTTTAGTTTGCTATAAATAATTATTTGTTACTTAAAAATAGCTTCTTTTAGCCTAAATAAAAAATTCTTTTAGCCCAAAAAAGGCAGCCCAAAATTAATCGGGGGCGGGGGCGGGGATAATAAAGGGGATTCAGGGGCGGGTGCGGGGGTAAGAAGGTTGAACATTTCGGGGGCGGGGCGGAGA